ACACAGCTGCTGCAGGCTGTGCTGGCAACATCTACAATGACAGTGTTGTGTCCCATTTTAGGGAAATCTTAAAAACATGCCAGAAACAGAGCTTTGGCATGTCTGGTGTCTGGAATGGATTAATTAGATTTCCATTATTTCTTTTGGGGAAAATTAATTCGGATTAAGTCAGATTCTGTATAAGACACGCTCTCTGGAACGGATTAATTACATTAACCGAGGGGTCCACTGTATTATTATATTATTATATTATTATATATATAATTATTATTATTATTATTATAATGGGGAAGCGCTAAACCTGTAAGATTATACAGCACCTGTGAGGGGGGAGGGGATGGAAGGTATTCAGGCTTTATTTAAGGAACTGGAGCATAGATACAATTCCCTAGATCAAGGGCCCTTCATCAGTGTTAAGGAACGTCCCTTGAGGGGGAGAAGCTCGCATCCTGAATTTTGGCTCGTATCCAGAAACAAAAAAATTGCCCAAGCGACAGCTTGTATCCTGAAAAACTTGCATGCTGGGGCACTCATAATCCAAGGTTCCACTGTATATACACTCGTTGTGTACAACACAATAACCGCACAAACATTGTTATCATGATATTGTTGATAAAACCTGTTTTCTCAACCCCATGCAGACTTCCCCACCACCCACATGGAAATATGTAAGTCACTTTGACTTTTTTGGGTTATCCTAGGTAATTTGCACAAATGCTACTATGTTGTTTATATAAACCCACGCTGCCTTCCCCACCATTGATGCTGTCTTTCCCACTACCCACACTGCCTTCCCCACCACCCACATGGAAATAAGTCATATATAAGTGGGTAGAATTATTGACAATATGTAAAGTAAAAGTACACAAGTGCAACTAATGTGACATTTTATTGTGGCAATGTTTCACTTCCCAGGAGCTTTGTCAAGCTGTTACGAACAATACATGGACATAGAGGGTATATATAGGCTTAGAGTGAGGTATAATGCTAGTGGCAGTAGTAGTAGTGATACAATATGGTAGAACAACTAACTTGCACCTGAGTAAAAGGATATAAAAGCTATTACTAGGGTAACATAAAAATAGGTTAGACTCGTATTTCTATTGGAGGTTGGATTAGAGAAGGCCTGTTTCGATGTTCATCCTCTGTAATGTGTTTGTGTTGTATTAGCCGGAGATACATATGTGATGGCAGGGTTTACTGTTTTCAGGAAGATTCTTCCTAAGACTTCAGAGATGGTGAAGCTGCCTTTGTTTTATTTAATTGTATTAGAGACAGCGATTAGTACTGACTCAAGGCACTTGCGTCTGCGGAAATTAGTTTTTTTGATCACTAATTAGTCACTTTGATCACAACTAATCACATTAGTTGCACTTATGTCCTTTTACTTTACTTGGAAATAAGTCACTTTGTCTGATTTTTTGAGTTTATTCTAGGTAATCTACAGATATGCTGCTATGTTGTTTACACAAGCCCACGCTGGCTTCCCCATGACCCACACTGTCTTCCTCACCACCACTTTTTTGGTGGAAGGTTTATGGTCGTCTGGGCTCTCAGCATTATTTCTGGTATCTTGGGCATTGCTTTCTGTCGCAAACTCCTCAGCATCATGAGATTCATCTTCACTGACACTTCAATCTGTGTTAGAACTATCACTTGGGAAGGGAAAAGTCTCAATTCACCGGGGAGTGAGGTATTCCTTACCGCTAGGCTTGGTGACCAAGGCATACTGAATTAGCACTCCCACAATGCACTGTGGCTTCCCCGATATATTTTTTTTATACTGCACACACTGACGACGCAGATCCGTTCTCTCGCATGTAGGCCTACCAGCTTTCTCCCGCTAGATTTGAAGCAACTAGAAATTTGGCATATTAATACATCACCAACACTGGCTCATAAGACGTATTTACATGGCACCGACAATGAAAGGGTTATGTTAAATAATGAGTGTACTGTATATGCATTTTATCACTCTAGGGCGCTTTAACCCTTTGAGGGTTTTGGTAGTACTAGTACGTCTTACGCGTAGGGGTTTTTGACGTACCTGGAGACCTGGAGTTTACCTGGAGAGAGTTCCGGGGGTCAACGCCCCCGCGGCCCGGTCTGAGACCAGGCCGTACTAGTACGCATAAATTCTAGCGGCCTCAAATCTAGTGGGAGAAAGCTGGTAGGCCTTCATATGAAAGAATGGGTCTATGTGATCAGTGTGCACAGTCTAAAAAAAATCCTGCAGCACACAGTGCATAATGAGAAAAAAAAAACTTTGACCATTTTTTTGGAATAAATCAGCGACTTTGCAGTGTATTTTCGTATGGTATTTATTGTTGTATTCTAGTTTTCTTGGTCTCATTTTATAGAATGGAAGACATATTACAGAAATTGAGATGATTTTGACTGGTTTTACAATGAAAGGTGCCTTGAAATTGAGCTCAAAGTAGCAGAAATGTTCGATTTTTACCGAAGTTCAAAAGTAAACAAATCGTGCCAAGCGTGCAATACACGTCAACTGGTGAGTCTAATATTCTTTCACAAGTGCACCAATAATATTTATACCATTTTTTACACTAATGCAGTAGTCTGCATAACAGTAAATCTTATATTTTTTGTGAGAATAAAAATTCAAAGTGGAAAGCAAAAGAATATAAGAGGGGCCTTGAGACGTGACTAATGACTAGAGGAAATGTCATTTTAGTGCCAGGAATGTCTTTCTTGTTTATTCTGGACCCTATTCGGAAATTGGCATCTTTTGAAATTTGTGTGAAATTGGCAAAATTGCTAAATTCTGACCACTGTACTGGATAGTTGAATTTCATAAATGGGTGGTTTCTTGCACCCATTCGATAGAAAAAATGGAGTTCTAGCGAAATATTCATGTTTTTTGTCGACTAGTACAGTGAAATTGGCCGAAAATGGGGCTCAAAGTGGGCAAAATCGCCGATGCGTAAACATCGTCGAGACCTCTAACTTTGCGAGAGCATAATTCTGTAAGTTTTCTATCAAATTTCAAACTTTTGGTGTCTTTATGATCAGGAAAAGATTCTCTATCTTTTCATTAGAGAAAATAATTTTTTTTTTTTTTTAAATTTGGCCGACCCTGAGAACGAGTTTCGGAGAGGGCCTGTCGACCCTCAAAGGGTTAAACATCATAGTATATTATGTGTGGGTGGGGTGGCCAGGAGGGCTACCATATCTACCACACCTGACTACTTACAATCAATGCTACTCACCTTTTGCCCTACATTAAGTCTACAAATATTTTGAGGTAAATAATTAGTGTACTGTTTGTGTATTTTACTTTTTATTGTTTTTAATGCCTAGTTCTACTGCTAACTAATGTATGTTAGTGTAAACTTGTTATCTAGCATTTATATGCATTTATAAGTGAAAAAACATGACGTTCCACTTTCTGGCGATGTCTCCTTTCCAGTGGTAGCCTGGAACCTAACCAGCTGTATAAGTGGGGCCCTACTATCCTTAACCCTTAAACTGTCCAAACATAGATCTATATTTGCTCACGTAGCGCTCCAAATGTAGATCTACACTTTTTTTACGTGGTTTCTCATGGAGAAAATCGAGGTCGGAGCGCTACATGTGCAAACATAGATCTACATTTGGACAGTTTAAGGGTAAATTCTAAGATTAGCCTCCTAACTCCTAGGCTAATTATTTACATTACAATTACTACATTGCTACTACACATATTTAAGTTAAGTTAGAGATAGTTGCTCAGCTTAAGGCAGTAGTTACATTTCCCATAAACAGTAGGCCATAGGCACCTTCAGCTCGCCAGTTTTGAGCATCGTTTGGCGTAGGCTGAACTGAACCCTTAGTCACAATTGAGTAGTGAGACAGGCAACTTCCCCCACACAAACCTTGCACAATGAATACAGTTGTTCACCACTATCACTGCAAGGTGAACCAAGCAGTTGTGTGACTAAACAGGTATTTCTTAGGTGATTCCTGGCCTTCTACCACCACGTAAGTATTTGGGACCTTGAATATTCATCTGTATTCTGTATACTTGTGTGGGGATTGGCCACCCACAACCTGAGATTACCACCACCAGCTGCCATACACTGTCTACTGTGAGGAATAAAGTCAGTACCCCATTGATCGAGTTACCCTGAAGTGTAGCGGCAGGCTTCAGACTGCGACTCATGGCTGAAATGTGGAACTACTAACCCAACTCAGCGATAATCCCACAAACACTGCCTAATTCCCTACATCTTTAGAGAAAAAGAGCTTTTTCCCCTGGAGTCAAAAAAAAGAAAAAAAAATGTACCAGAGTATAATGATACCAACTCTCATATGGGTGTGAAGAATAGGTTTTGAACTTGACTCTGAGGAGAAGGAGGAGGTGGTTCCAGGCAGTGGAGATATGTTTGAGGACAGTGAAATGTGTGAATATGAACCTGGAGATTAGAAATGGGGGGAGAGGGACTACCAAAAGTATTATTTAGAGGGTTGAGGAGGGTTTGTTTAGGTGGTTTGTACATTAAAATGAACAGGACAAAATAGGATGACTGGGTGGGGGGGGATGTATATATATTTAGGGTGGAGGGAAGGAAGGGTAGGGGTCATCCCAGGAAAAGTTGGAGGGGTAAAAGAGATTTTGAGTGCTTGAACATTCAGCTGGCTTGTGTGTGCCTGTTAGACAGCAGTGAGTGGAGGTAAGTGTTTTTATGAATTAATATGCCATTGGAGTGTGAGAATGTTAACATGGTACAGAGAAACCAGTTAACTGGACTTGAGTCCTGGAACTGGGAAGTACAGTGCCTGCACTCTGAAAGAAGAGTGGGGAATATTTCAGTTTGCAGGTCATCTGAATTGTGATATCAGCACAGCAAGACAGTGATTGAATGAGTGATGAAAGTGTTTACATTTTTTCTCTTGTGTTACTGTATCTTGGTGGGAGAAGGCAACTGTCTAAAAAACTACTGTCAGTAGTTCTTGTTAGTCAAGCAGATTTTAATGGCATTTTTTTTTTCCTCATTTTAGTGAATAATGTTGGAGTGGCTGGCTCTGCTCTGTGTCTCTTCATTGATGCACCTGAAGATGATATCTGGGCACTTGTGAATGTCAATGTCGCATCTGTACCAGCTATGACAAAGTTAGTATTGCCTGGGATGATTGCACGCAGGAAAGGGGCCATTGTCAACATTAGCTCAGCGGCAGAGATTTTTTCTCTCCCTCTTTTGCAACTTTACTGTGCATCGAAGGTAAATAAATGCTCTGGTACCTGTGATATACCCTGACCAGTTTCAATGGTTTTCCTGTTATTCTCCAACTAATTTTTTTTCCAGGTTACTCTGATAATAAATTCACTGAAAAACAAGACAGGAAACCTTGCTAATACAGTGGAACCTTGGTACTCAAACTTAATTCATTCCAGAAGGCTGTTGGAGTGTTGATCTGTTTGAGTATTGAACAAATTTTTCCCAACCAATTTTCTTTTTGGTTAGCTGTTATCACTTATCTTTGTAGGCCCCATGGTGACTTATTTATACTACAGATAATGTAAAAAAACCCCACAAAATGCAAAGAAACACGAAATACATGTACATAGTTTACAGCGAAGTTCTGGCAGGTTATGTTTGTTTGGTCAAGTGCTGATCTTTGTTTAAGTGGGGAGCTGTTTGAGTACCGAGGTTCCACAGTACAGTAGAACCTCGACTTACAAATGCCCCACCATGCGAATTTTTCAGGATACGAACTGTCATTTGGTTGAGTTTTTGCTTCTGGATATGAATGAAATTTCAAGATGCTAACTTCCCCCTCAAGGGAAGTTCCTTAAATAAATAGGTAGTAGGTTGGTAGACAGCAACAGCCCAGGGAGGTACTACCATTCTGCCAAGTGAGTGTACAACGAAAGCCTGTAATTGTTTTACATGATGGTAGGATTGCTGGTGTCCATTTTTCTGTCTCGTAAACATGCAAGATTTCAGGTACATCTTGCTACTTCTTCTTACACTTAGGTCACACTACACATACATGTACAAGCATATATATATGTACATACCCCTCTGGGTTTTCCTCTATTTTATTAATAGTTCTTGTTCTTGTTTATTTCCTGTTCTCTCCATGGGGAAGTGGAACAGAATTCTTCCTCCGTAAGCCATGCATGTTGTAAGAGGCGACTAAAATGCCGGGAGCAAGGGGCTAGTAACCCCTTCTCTTGTATATATTACTAAATGTAAAAGTAGAAGCTTTCGTTTTTCCTTTTGGGCCACCCCGCCTCGGTGGGATACGACCAGTGTGTTGAAAGAAAGAAAGAATTGCTTGTGTCTTTTGTCTGTCTCATAAATATGCAAGATTACAGGTACATCTTGTTACTTCTACTTACACTTAGGTCACACTAAACATACATGTACATGTTTATTTATACACACTCATCTGAGTTTTCTTTGATTTTATCTTAGTTCTTGTTCTAATTACTTTTCCTTTTTATATCCATGGGGAAGTGGAATAAGAATCTTTCCTCCATAAGCCATGCGTGTTGTAAAAGTCAACTAAAATGCCGGGAACAATGGGCTAGTAACCCCTTTTCCTGTAATAATTACTAAAAAGAATAAGAAGAAGAAAATTGTCAAAGTGGGAAGTCTGAATGTGCGTGGATGTTGTGCGAATGATAAGAAAGAGATGATTGTGGATGTTATGAATGAGAAGAAGCTGGATGCCCTGGCTTTAAGTGAAACAAAGCTGAAGGGGGTGGGTGAGTTTCATTGGAGAGGAATAAATGGGATTAGGTCAGGGGTTTCTAATAGAGTTAGAGCTAAAGAAGGAGTAGCAATAATGTTGAAGGATAAGCTATGGCAGGAAAAGAGGGACTATAAATGTATTAATTCAAGGATTATGTGGAGTAAAATAAAGATTGGATGTGAGAAGTGGGTTATAGTAAGCATATATGCACCTGGGGAAGAGAGAAGTATAGAGGAGAGAGAGAGAGAGAGAGAGAGATTTTGGGAAATGTTGAGTGAATGCGTGGGGAGTTTTGAACCAAGTGTGAGAGTACTTGTGGTTGGGGATTTTAACCCTTTGAGGGTTTTGGTCGTACTAGTACGTCTTACGCGTAGGGGTTTTTGACGTACTAGTACGCATAAATTCTAGCGGCCTCAAATCTAGTGGGAGAAAGCTGGTAGGCCTTCATATGAAAGAATGGGTCTATTTGGTCAGTGTGCACAGTCTAAAAAAAATCCTGCAGCACACAGTGCATAATGAGAAAAAAAAAACTTTGACCATTTTTTTGGAATAAATCAGCGACTTTGCAGTGTATTTTCGTATGGTATTTATTGTTGTATTCTAGTTTTCTTGGTCTCATTTTATAGAATGGAAGACATATTACAGAAATTGAGATGATTTTGACTGGTTTTACAATGAAAGGTGCCTTGAAATTGAGCTCAAAGTAGCAGAAATGTTCGATTTTTACCAAACTTCAAAAGTAAACAAATCGTGCCAAGCATGCAATACACGTCAACTGGTGAGTCTAATATTCTTTCATAAGTGCACCAATAATATTTATACCATTTTTTACACTAATGCAGTAGTCTGCATAACAGTAAATCTTATATTTTTTGTGAGAATAAAAATTCAAAGTGGAAAGCAAAAGAATATAAGAGGGGCCTTGAGACGTGACTAATGACTAGAGGAAATGTCATTTTAGTGCCAGGAATGTCTTTCTTGTTTATTCTGGACCCTATTCGGAAATTGGCATCTTTTGAAATTTGTGTGAAATTGGCAAAATTGCTAAATTCTGACCACTGTACTGGATAGTTGAATTTCATAAATGGGTGGTTTCTTGCACCCATTCGATAGAAAATATGGAGTTCTAGCGAAATATTCACGTTTTTTGTCGACTAGTACAGTGAATTTGGCCGAAAATGGGGCTCAAAGTGGGCAAAATTGCCGATGCGTAAACATCGCCGAGACCGCTAACTTTGCGAGAGCATAATTCCGTAAGTTTTCTATCAAATTTCAAACTTTTGGTGTCTTTATGATCGGGAAAAGATTCTCTATCTTTTCATAAGAGAAAATAATTTTTTTTTTTTTTAAATTTGGCCGACCCTGAGAACGAGTTTCGGAGAGGGCCTGTCGACCCTCAAAGGGTTAATGCTAAAGTGGGTGAAAATGTTGTGGAGAGAGTAGTAGGCAAATTTGGGGTGCCAGGGGTAACTGAAAATGGGGAGCCTTTAATTGAGCTATGTGTAGAAAGAGGTTTGGTAATAAGTAATACATATTTTATGAAAAATAGGATAAATAAATATACAAGGTATGATCAGTAGCACGTAATGGAAGTAGTTTATTAGATTATGTATTGGTGGATAAAAGATTGATGGGTAGGCTCCAGGATGTACATGTTTATAGAGGGGCAACTGATATATCGGATCATTATCTAGTTGTAGCTCCATTTAGAGTAAGAGGTACATGGGATAAGAGGAAAATGGCAACAAGAAGTAAGAAGGAGGTGAAAGTGTATAAACTAAGGGAGGAGGAAGTTCGGGTGAAATATAAGCAACTATTGGCAGAAAGTTGGGCTGGTGCAGGTACGAGTAGTGGGGGAGTTGAAGAGGGTTGGAATAGTTTTAAAAATGCAGTGTTAGAATGTGGGGCAGAAGTTTGTGGTTATAGGAGGGTGGGTGCAGGAGGAAAGAGGAGTGATTGGTGGATTGATGAAGTAAAGGGTGTGATAAAAGAGAAAAAGGTAGCTTATGAGAGGTATTTAAAAAGCAGAAGTGTTATAAGAAGAGTAGAGTATATGGAGAGTAAAAGAAAGGTGAAGAGAATGGTGAGAGAATGCAAAAGGAGAGCAGATGATAGAGTGGGAGATGTACTGTCAAGAAATTTTAATGAAAATAAGAAAAATTTTGGAGTGAGTTAAACAAGAAAGCCTAGGGAACAAATGGATTTGTCAGTTAAAAACAGAGTAGGGGAGTTAGTAGATGGGGATATGGAGGTTTTGGGTAGATGGCGAGAATATTTCGAGAAGCTTTTCAATGTCGACGAAGAGAGGGAGGCGGTAATTTCATGCACTGGCCAGGGAGGCATACCATCTTTAAGGAGTGAAGAAGAGCAGGATGCGAGTGTGGGGGAGGTGTGTGAGGCATTACGTAGAATGAAAGGGGGTAAAGCAGCTGGAACTGACAGGATCATGACATGCTATTTTTTAGCTTAAGACTATTTACTTTGTTTTATACTTAATTCTAACTATAGATTCACTACAAATCTTATGATTACAAGCATTGATCCTGATACCAACCTCTTATTTCATGACTTAAATGAATCAAACAGTTACTGTAATTACTACACTGCAGAACAATCAAAGGCACTTCTCAGTTCCAACAACAACATAACTATCTTTAACTACAATATCAGATCTTCAAGCAAGCATTACGATGACCTCATAGCATCACTCAATTCCTTACATGCCAATATGTCCATCATTACACTAACTGAAACCTGGCTAAAGCCTGATAGTACAGATGTCTATGCCATTCCTGGTTACACAGCCATACACAACTGTAGGCCAGACCAACAAGGGAGTGGCACAGCCATATACTACTCAGACCAACTAGAATGTATCACTAATACTTGCACAAGGGATGAACATGGGGAATATATAATAGCCAAATTCAAATCCAAATACCTACAAAAACCTCTCACATTGATAAACATCTACAGAGTTCCACAGTCAAACATTAGCCAATTTAGTCAAAACCTAGGAAGTATGATAATTGATGCACGCATGAACAAAGATCACTTATTACTCTCAGGTGACTTCAATATAAATCTCCTGCAAGACCAGGACCCACACGTTACTGAATTCACAAACACAATGAGTAACTGTATGTTGCTACCAACAGTAACAAAACCTACAAGAGTTACAGAGACTAGTGTTTCCCTACTTGACCACATCTGGACCAACACCATATCCCCTTTAAAATCAGGCATAATTACAGATAATACCACAGACCACTACCCTACTTTCCTCATAACAACTCTTGGTAAACTACCCCAAGACACTACTAAAGTCACCTTCAGACTTCACAATGAGGCGGCCATTAATAACTTCACAACAGCAGTAGCAAACATTGACTGGCACACTGAGCTAGAAATCTATACAGATATTGACGAATGTATTAATAATTTTATAAAAAAGACCCAATACCTCTATAACAAGCACTGCCCTAAAAAAACTAAACAGATGACAGCTAAGAGACTGAAC